TTAATAGTTTCTCACTGAAGCTTTGTTTTTTAAAATCAAAATGTTTTTCTATTTTATTAATATAAAATACTAAAATTGTTTGTTTGTTTTTTGTTTTAATTGAGCAAATTTATAAATCAAAGACAATGAAGTGCAACATTCATCCATCCATTGTGAATTATCAGTGGTCAGGTTGTGGGGGGGGACCAAGTCCAGGAGGGAAGCCTGGACCCCCATCCCCTCCAGCTCCTCCTCCCAAGATGTTCCTGGACCACAGAGACCAGCAGGTTCTGGGTCTGCTCTCCTGGAGGGATACTCCAAACTTTTACATAAACTTCTGATGTGCAAAATTAATTTTTCTGATCATTTTTAATACATAAACATTTATTTAACATTAATCTGACAACACTTTGAGCACTTTTACTATTTTAATACTTTTGATTCAGCCAGAATGTCAGATGGACCAGCTCTGAAGAGTCTGCAGAGGTTTAAAACATCTACCAGATGTGGCAGTGCAGTGAGACACCGAAGAAACCTGAATGAGAACCTTAAGTGCCCAGTCTGAGAGTCACATCAGGGACCGCTTCAAATTCAATTCAAAAATACTTTATTAATCCCAAAGGGAAATTATTTGTTGTTGTAACTCGTTATCCTCATTTCATTTAGAGATGTTATAGATACTGAGGCTGTAGGCAGGAAGGATCTCTTGTAAAGGTCCATCCCACAGTGGATCCTAAGAAACTGGCTGCAGATGCCGTCCGATCCGTCCGATCCGTCCGATCCGTCCACCCAGACTCGGCTGACCTCTCAGTTCCCCTGGACTGTAGGACCGCCCGAATGCTGGGCAGAACTCCTCCCAGAGCGATGGCCACTCCTCCCAGCAGTCTGCTGAGTTCCTCATCGCTGCAGACAGCCAACTGTAGGTGCTGAAGGACGATCCTGTCCTTCTGCAGTCATGAGCCATGTTTCTTGCTAGTTCCAGGATCTCAGTGGTCAGGCGCCCGAGCACAGCTGGCAGGTAGATGAGAATGCGTCCACAGAACATCCTTTTCAACTCATTTGAGGTTTGGAGCTGTAGTTGAGATATTATTTGAGCTTTTGAGATGTTAATCAGCTGCTGTTGTTGTAGAAAACTGCCTTGTTGCCATGGTTACGCATCATAACAAAAGTCCAAAATTTAGACAAGTTTCAGTAAAAAATCCTTCGAGCTGCACAGCATCTGATACCAGAGGAAACATTCATCCAAAAAATGTGACTTACATCCAGAAAAACAAGATTTAAAGTTTCCAAACGCAAAATCCCAGAATGAAAGAAACAGAGCTGCTCCAACATGCAGCCACCTTGAGCGGCGCAATTCACACAGTCCCATTCAGTCCCATTTGAAGCAGTTCATGTTAAATATTGAACCCACATCTCGAGTTATAAACTCGGTGGTCGTTGTTGATCGTTACATACAAACCTGACCATCGGCCGAGTGTTGGACCCTCACAGGATTCTTCTGGTACAAAAACCAGTACTAGTCCTTCAAACTGCTCCGTAATGGAACTAAACAAGAACTAGTCAGCCCAACATCCAATTAAAGCACCAAATGGACTTCAGTTCTGCTCAGATGTACCGTTTGATCTTCAGATGGATCCTTGATGATTCAGTTCAGAGACCGTTTGGACTCCAGCATTTATTCTCAAATTGTAATAAAAACGTTGCACAATCGAACCGTGCTCTGATTATGTGTTGAGAATGACTCTCGGCTACTACCACATCAAAGATGAGCTCAGTATTTGTATAAGTGACTGTTTTGTAGTCATTCGTGTGTTTGGTAACGCTGACTGTGACGGCCGTGTTGTAGATAAGATATTGATCCTGCAGGAAATTGTTGGAAATCTACGTCCAATGATTTCTTTCAACAGTTGATGCTTTTAGGAACTAATTCTGTTTTCATGATTACTTCAAATGTTGCATTCAAGGACTTCTTTTTTTTTTTCTTTCGGCTGCTCCCTTCTTCAGGGATCACAGCAAATTAACTCGCACAAAGACTTGGCGATTGTTTTTACATCGGATGTCCTTCCTGACGCAACCACAGACCACGGAGCTACCACAGCCCTCTGTGTGGAGCAGAGAGCTGCTATCCAGGGCGCCTGGGGGAGCAGATGGGGGAGTTAAGGGCCTTGCTCAAGGGTGGGGCAAATGAGGGTGGAGGCAGGTGTGGGTGCTTTGCCTTTCCCACCCACATTTTGATGTTGTCGGTACAAGGAATTGAACCGGCGACCTTCCAGTCACAGGCTTCTTTAACCTCTGCGCTACCACTCCCCTTTTTTCAAAGACTCAAAAACTAATTGAAACCTGGAATTTTTAAAATAAAATATGATTTTCTTGTGATATAGAACAAGCAGATAATTGGAGTACTATTAGTTCAAAGGGTTTTTGAGTGTTTCCTAAATAAAATATAGAACATCTGGTTATATATTGTGTTAAAGAAGCAAAACTATAACAGAAAAGTTGTAACTACTTCAGACATGAAGTGAATTCAACCTGAAGGAGTGAAGAGAGAATAAAGATAAAGAAGCTGAATTTTACGCTGAACTGGAAAATAGTTCAGTTATTGAACACAGACCCCAAAATGCATCTTATATTGGAAAACCGATATTTATAAATATTCCTTTGTGACTTCACCTGGACTGTTTTTCTTGTGGACGCAGCTTTTAGGTTTGAGGGCGGAGGAAGTCGAAGCGGGCAGGATGCTTAATGGAGTGCTGATGATTGGATTAACTCAGACTGCCGGGCCATGTAGTGTTTCTAATCCAGTTGGTGGGGTGTCCACAGACGTTTCAGTTCACGGGTCAGTGAACGCCTCGTATTTCTGCTAGGGTTTATCACCGTTCCGGTGCTTGGTGCTCACATGGCAGCCGTGTTCACGACGGGAGGGCTCGTTCGTTCATGCAGGTTCATGACACCAGTTTCAGCTAATGGCCGGCGATAAAAAGCAAGTTGAGGGATAAACAGTCATTACATGGCAGTAAAGCAAAGTGTTGGGTGATCACTTGCATGCAGCTGGACCGTGCACATGTGCAACAGATGCACAATGGGACACTTAATATCCTGAAAACGGCAATAACACTTACGGAGACAATTAGAGAGATTAAAACCAAGAGAGCCTCCCGCTGGGCTCGACTTCCAAAATAATCAGGGTTTTACTGCATTTACGTTCTGTACGAGACTCAAAGCAGGAGGAGGTGTTTGGAATAAAACCTGAACAGATGAGAGCACAAAGGAGCCCGAGTCTCTTTTTAGTTTTGATGTTCAGGAAATAAAATTAAACGAATGCCTTAAATCGTGTTGTTAGATTTTAAGAAGTGCTCAAAGTGGGAGAAAAGTGCTTCTTTAAACAAAAAGTGTCAATAAGAGGAGCGATTTGGGGTTCCATGCTATGGAGATAAATTAGCCTCAAAAGTAGCGTGTAAGATTCACAAACGCATACAGTTTTTCAAATGTGCACATGTCAAACTGCACAATTGGGAATATTCTGTGCATTCAAATTGTCAAATGCACGTGCACATATCACCTGCAGCGCACGGATCAGCTGCCCGCGAGTGTGATTTTAACGCGGATCTAGCACAGAGAGAGGGCCAGCCGGGCCGGCCAGGCCCGCCCATTCAGGTACCCCCACCCCCCACCCCCCCCACCCCCACCAACACAGATTACAACACTGTAAATAAGTTGAACCTATGCCATGTTTTGACTCAAGACAACCAGCAGAGGGTGCTGTAGACGATTAAACTGGACTTTTAGAGGCAGGAAAGAAGACAAACTAGTTTTCCAACCGTTAATAATATTAGAAGAAGAAGAAGACACTTTGATAAGATAATATGATATGGTAATATAAGGTAATATGATAAGGCAATATGTCAAGAAGAAGGATTTCTTACTTGAGACTCTGAAAAGACGAACCTGTTCAATGCGTTTTTACTACAGAGAGGCAGAAAATCTGATCGAGTTTTAAAGATGGATTTTCCAGAATTTTTTTAATTTTATTTGCATGTCAGGTTTGTTCAGCAAAAGAGTGGAAATGTTCAAAATGTTCAGTTTTTTTTTTTTTTATGTTTTCACCTCTCTTCAGAAGTGTACAGTTGCCTTCAAGTTTCTGGTGTTAAAATGTTTCAATGATTAGTGCACTGCCAGTTTTTAAGATTTATGCAAAAAAAAATTATGCAAACTTGAGCACAATTTCTCAGCATTTTCTGGTGACTACATGTCACTTTTGAAGTTGTTTGTTTTGTATTAATAAACAACATATGGCTATTTAAGACACGTTACTAACTTGGCACAATAAATACATGTCAGATACAAGTCGAATACAAGTTCAATACAAGTCTCACTCAGGTCTGATACAACTCACATTGAGTTTCATTTAGAAAAGTCCACACACAGTGTTACATGATTGCCCACGGTTTGGGCGATAACAGTTTCAGTTTTGGAGATAAAAACGTCTCCGGAGTTCAGCAGCTCCTCGTCATGAACAGACTTTAAATGACAGCCAACACTGAAAGGTTGTCTGAGTGATGATAAATAATGGATGATAAAATAATGACCTGGTGTGTGTGTGTGTGTGTGTGTGTGTGCGCGTGCGGACATGTGTGTTTCAGTGAGTCATCTGGGTCTTACAGGATCATTCTTTAATTTTGCAGTTCAAACGATGTGACCAAACCTTCCTGGTTTTTGTTTGGATCTTTGATTTTTATTAGAAATTTTAAAAAATCCTGCAGGTTTTGATTGAATGTAAATGAAGTCGTTTGATGAGGGAAAAAAGATATTCGCTAACAAAATGACTTGGAGACAAGTTTCCAGGTCATGTTTGTAAATGAGAACTGGTTCTCAACATTTCACTGAGTACAATAAAGGTCAAATAAATAAAATAAAATAAAAGTTGTAAACTGGTCTGATACTGGTCAGATACAACTGTTACAGGCCAAATACAAACTAGCTGGTCTACTAAACTAACTAAAACCTTCCTGTTTGTCTTCCAGTCCTTACTGCTGATTCGCCAGGAGATGGTGGTGTCCCAGAAGAAGCTGGGCGAGTTCTGTGAGGCCCTGAAGCAGTACCTGAAGAACGTCTCTGCTCAGAGGGACTGCTTTCAGTAAGTTTGTTAGCGCTCCGTGTTTTTACCTCTGCTCCATAACCCGTAAGGCGGAATATATTCAGAGCTTCTGCTCGTGGTTTACTGTATTGTTTTAGCCTATAAGTTGCGGTTTTTGCATAATTTGCATGCCCTGCGACTTATACGCCAAAGGGACATATTTGTTTTTTTCCATATTTATAAACCAAATTTTGGCTGAGATATAACCATTTTCATTCATTGACTGAAAATATTGAACACTGCCACTTTCAGCCACTAGATGGCACTCAAGTAGTATGGCATGCCGTTGTATCATGTAATAGGTAAAAGTGACTATTAATGACACAAATCGGCTTGCCATAGACTGCCACCTTTGTCCAGCTCGCCTGGAGCAACCATCAAATCAGCTTCATTTTGCTGCACCACCCCGGCGAAATGAAGCTGATTTGACTATTTAAGTGCATTTATTAAGTAAAAGTTCAACAAAGACACATTTTTACTATAATGTCGAGCAAACAAATAATTGTTTTAGGTGCTTATCTTGTTAAATTTCGAAGAAAAGCACAGCGTTCCTCCTTTCTGTTTTTCTCACTGTCTGCACGCTCCCGGAGCACCGAGGCAGTAAATACTTTTGAAATGCAGCTGATTTGAGTGTTAAAGTCCTTTTATTAAGTAAAATGTCAACTGAGACATACCTTTACTATAAAGTCGAGCAAACAAATAATAGTTTTTAGGTGGTTATCTTGTTAAATTTTGAAGAAATGCACAGTGACTCGTCCTTCTGCGCGCTCCTACTTCTGCGAATCGGCTTTTGAAAATGCAGCTGATTTGACCGTTAAAATGCATTTATTAAGTAAAACTTAGACTGAGACACACCTTTACTATAATTTTGAGCAAACAAATAATTGTTTTTAAGTGTTCATTTTGTTAAATTCTTGTTAAAGTCCTCCTGTGCATGTTCCCCTTTTGGCACAACACCGGTCCACATTTCCGGGTGGTCAGCGGTGACGCATAATAGATGCAACGTATATGGCAAAGTGACGTATTTATGGATTTTTCCACTTTATTAGCCATATTTGGACTGATGTGACTTATAGGCGGTGCGATGGTGGAAAATACGGTAACTTTCTGAGTATTTCATCGTCAAGACTGAGAAATTTGGAAATCCCATGTGGTTCAGATGAAAGAGGAGAAACATGGCAGTGCTGCGTGCCTGGTGTGTGTGTGATTAAACACTGATTGTATACACGTATCCACATGCTGGAACTGCTGGGAACCTCCCACTCAGAGCTGCAGGAGGCTGAGAAACTCTAATATCCTGAGAGATTTTCCCAAATCCAGACTTAATTTGCTCCATGCATCGTCCAGAATGAAAAGGTTTTAACTCTGCTTTCTATTCTGCCAACATTTAGCGAGCTTTGCTCTGCAGGACAAGCAGGAGCAAAGATGGAACCTTTATATTTATAAACCTTTATTTAACCAGGCAAATCCCATTGAGATCACAGATCTCTGGGGCCTGAAGGCAGCCTAACATACATGTTTTTGAACTGTGGGAGGAAACCGGAGTACCTGGAGAAAACCCACAGAAGCACAAGAAGAACATGCAAACTCCACACAGAAAGACCCCAGGTCCAATCGGGGATTGAACCCAGGACCTTCTTGCTGTGAAGCAACAGTGCTAACCACTAAGCCATCATGCTGCCCACCTTAACACACACAGAATGCATATCGCCTGCTGCCTTTCAGGCAGCAATTTTAAATTATTCTCATCCTATGTTCAGAAATCTCAAAAACAGCAATATACAAGATCTTCTGCAGAAATGTGGAATCATGTGCAATCAGTTAGCTTTCAGCCTGTGTTGCTAACGACCCTCAGCTACTGCCACACCAAATCTGAGCTCAAGATCTCTAAAATGGACAGAGTTACCATATATCAAAGTTCGTGCTCAATAATCCAGGAAAAAAAATTCAGCAAAGTTCAGTCAGGTCATCTGGACGGTTTCTTTGTTGTTGTTGTTGTTGTGATGTTTCGTCCTTCATCCAAAGGACTTCATCAGCCTGAGGAGCCTCAACAAACTTGGTCCCACAAGCATCATATTGGACCAGCCAGTTGTAATTGGCAGTTAGTCTTTTTTTTTGCTAAAGTGTTTTTTTAGTGCTACCAGACAAATTCACACACTTATAATAGTTGTAGAGCTGTAATGTCACAGCACACGTCCACACGTAAAATCCTCAGGTGGATCTAAAATAAGAAATTTACCCAAAAAGTCTAACTCAGATTTTTCTTATCTGCCCTCTGATTGTCGTCTCAATCAGATTGTGTTCAGATTAATTTGCGACCCTGAATTAACACGTCAATTGTTTCTGTTCTTGTTCATTCTTGCTCTAATTAGCCCTTTTGAGTTAATTAAATCAGTTTCTCATCATTCTGATACAGCCATGAGTCGTTTTTAAGCCTAGACGCAGTATTTGCTGGACGAACTGATACTGTTGTTAAAAAGCTGCTTCAACTCATTCATGCTTCTCGGGAAGTGAAGAGGTGAAGAATGTCTTTGTTACGATGACGGCAGAATCATAAAGCGTCTCTATAAAAGCCAACAAATCTCTGACCGGGTCGCTGTTGGGTTTTATTACAGTTTCTCTCCATGTTTTAGTGACTTGCAGTAAATGTGGTGCGGTGTTTATTATCTTGTCTGATTTTCCAGGCCACTTCTTCCAGCTCCATTTTCCTGGTTTATAGTCCTCTGTTGATTCCTTTAATGTCGTCTCCATTGTAATCAAGCCTGTGTGCATGTTCGGCTCTTCCTCACATCTTTTTGATCTTCTTCCTCATCTCTCTTCTGCTGCAGCGTAACCGCGGTGCGTCTGCCGGACGGTTTGTCCTTTGTCGTCTACGAGTTCTGGGATGGAGAGGAGGAGTGGAAGAGGTGAGTGTGGAAGAGAAGCGGTAAAATCAGTCACTTTGGCTAACCGTGAAGATGTGGTGGGGTTACATGGAGTAGTTATGACCAGTCATTATCTTACCTGCAGCAGACTGTCAGGGTAGTGCATTTCTTTAGCAATCCAACCATTTCTGCACTTTGTGGCATTTTAAGGATTTGTGTTTTGAATTATTTATCTTGATCAGAACTTGTGTCCTTTGAGTTTCAGTGTTTTTCATTTTGACACTTTTTGAACGATTTTACTTTATTTAAAAATAATTCCCCAGAGAAATGCACTAAGATCTCTTCAGTTCTTTCAAAAAACTTGTTCTGAAATCTACTTCAGCTTTATTTAATTACACTGCTTTTAGCTACTGTTTTGTTTCTGCTCACATTTTTCCTCATTTTGAATCTTAGCTGAGGTTTTGCAATCTTTTTTTAAATGCCCATCAAAAGGCAGACGTATTATGAAATGGTCTCTGTCCATAAACTCGCTTCTCTCGCCCATAAATTATGATCCAGTCAAAATAATTTAACAAAACTTTATAGACGTAGGACTTACGACCCATCCAGAGTGTACTCCGCCCCTCGCACAGTGATTGCTGGACATGGGCACCAGCGACCCCCGTGACCCAAAATGGAATAAGCGGGTAAAAGATAATGGATGGATTTATAGACGTAAGCATCATCACTAGACGGAGTGTTGCATACCTTTTCATTGTCCTAGCTCTTAGTTCAAGGTCACAAATCAAGGTTGAAGGATATACAAGGGCTTCATCTGAGCCATTGCTTTGGATTTCTGATAATAGTTTGTTGACGAGCATATACTTGTTATCCACATATTTTAGCTAGTTTTTTGCTATATTTAGCAAAACTTGTTTTAACTAACAATTCAGTTAACCTCTTCAACAACTTGAACAAAGTGACTCAGTAGTCAACATTCAAACTGTATATTTGCTGAAAATCCAAATGCATCTAGTTTATTTAATCGCTTTTACGTGAGTTGACTTTTTTTTGTGTTCTATGCTAGCTGCTAAAATATCCTGCCGGCAATCATCTGAGTCCACCACGACTTGTTTTACGCTAATAATGACATCTTTCCCTAAAAATGGAATTTCATCTTAGGCTTTACCTTCTGAAGTTGTTGGTTTGCGTTACATCGGCTAAAACTACGAGTCGAATGAATGAATGAATGATGGTTGATGGATAACAACATGAGACAAAGACCAGGTGAAACACAACAGGTCCGAGATCTTAAAACAGATGAAACTATAAAATGGAACAAAGGTCCTAAATACAGTGGCCCTAAGGTGTAAATGAACGACAATTGAAAAAGACAACAAAAAGACAACAACATTAGAAACAATGGAATTACATTAGAAAAAACTGAATCGCATTAGAAACAACAAAAATTATATAGTTTTTGAATGATTCAATATTTTCAAATGTAATTCCATTTTTTTTCCTATGTGTTTCCGTTTTTTCAAATGTGATTCCATGTGGTTCTGGTTTTTCCCACATGTGATTCTGTTTTTTTTTTTTTTTCAAATGTGATTCTGGTCACTTCCGCTTTGGCTTAATGCAATTCAGTTTTTTCAAATGTTGTTCATTTATTCCTTAGGGCCACCGTACGTAAAGCAGGTAAAACGCTTTGAAATGAAAGGATTTCTTGCTGCCTTGTGTGGCCATGTTTTAAACAAAGGTGGTGCCCAATCTGTTTGAACTTGTCTCAAGGATGACTCTCAGCTACTGCCACACCAAATTAAAAGCTCAGTATCTGCATAACTGAGTAATAGCAGCCATTTTGAATCATGTTTACTCCAAAGGTTTATCGGGTGCAGTTTTCAGTGCAGAGTGATCAAAAACCAGGTTTAGTTCAAAGAAAAGTTTTGTCATTCTTGCTTGATTAGCTCAAATCCCTGATTCTACAAACTGCGGTCACTCTGACTGCTGTCTACTGCAGGTAAGATACTGACTACTCAAAACTACTACAATAGATTGAAACATCTGCAAAATTATTAAAGTCCAGTTCTGCAGAACTATTGATCCAAGAATCAGCATTCTGTCTCCTCTGAAAGTTTTTTTGTTTTAGCTCAGTGAGTCGTTTCTTTCTGCCCGTTTTTCATCGATTGTTGTTTGACAAATAAAGAACACGCTCACATTTCTTCCATTAATGTTCAGGCCCGTAATTAGCCGTCTTCAGCTGCATTTGCTCGTTGTGATGAGGTGATGGTGGGCACGAGGCGAAGCTGCTGATGTGGCTGATGGGAGTTTCTGCTCTGCTGCCCCCAGCATCTCGCTGCCATTAATATTTCAGGCCTTACAGTAAAGGCTGTGGGCCGTGCTGAATGATTCTGGACCGTGCCGTTGAGCAACTGTACAGAACATCTCCCCTCTTTCTCTGCAGGCACCTTCAGTCAGCTCCCAACAAAACCTTTCAGCATGTGAAGGTGGACACGCTGTGCCAGGCGGAGAACGTGTCTTCTGTAGCTGTGCCAGGTTGGTCGAATCACAAATACTGCGCTCGGTAAAAATATTCCTCCCTCCTGGTGTTCTCCTGTGTTGTGGACTTTCAGTGGGTTTTTGTTCCATTTAAAGGTGGACCTCAGGCCACCTGAGAGTCTGGTTTGATTTAAAGATCGCGGGCCACAAAGAACGGATCTTGATTTTGCCTCTACAGAGTTTTAAGCACTAAATAAATAAATACGAAGGCACCATTTTTCAGTTTTATACATTTTTTTAAATGATTTAAAACAATGTTGTCTCCATTTAACTTTATTATTCTGAAGGTATTTTCCTTTGAATTACATTAAAAATAAATTGTAAGTTGTAAGACAACAGACTGATAAGAGCTGAAACTGCCTGCAAATAAACTTTATGATCTTTAATTCACGCATGCAGCCGTTTAAATTTCATCCCTTGAAATCAAACCTAAACCAGTCGTTTGTACCATTAAAGGACTTAAAGTGGGTTTGACTTGATGCGGAGCTGAACGTTTGTCTGAAGACTCTGAAAGCAAAGACTGAAGCTAGAACGGACTTTTGAGCAATTTCAATCAGCTCCGGACCGAAGTTACGACGTCACAAAACAGTAATCAGCAGCAGCACGTCGGTTCAGGTCCGGAGCTGCTGTTGCACCAGATAAAAAATATTTTTCTGACATGATTCTGCCTGAAAGCTTTAATGATGAACATTAAGAAACTTTTTCATCTTCAACGATTATTCCTCCCGTAGGAACGCACCGGATCTTATTCCTTTTCTGTGAAAAACAAAACAGGAGGTGGTTCCTGCACAGGTATCAAAAAAATAATAAACTCGATGCCTTTAGGGTCGTTCTCTCCATCTTTTTAAATTACTTTCTTCTCGTGCTGGTGCTGTAATTTCAAAGTATTCTGAAGAAGCTTTCTCCTCGAAGTGTTGCAGCGTTCCCACGAGATCAGCTGCTGATCGCGACCGACTCGACCTCGGTCGTTTTCTTCCCCTCGGGTCTCATCGACCTGAACGTCGGCCACTTTCAGCTGAACTTAAACACAGCTGAAGGCAGAAGCTGCAGGAAGGAACTGGAACCGTTCGGTTTATAAAAACTGGTTTTAGCTCGTGGTCAAATTAAAATATTTGATGCTTTAAATGATCTTGAAACAACAAACGGCCTTCGTGTTAAAATTGGCTGAATGCTTTTGAGCCAATGTTCATTTAAAAAAAAAAAAGAGCTGAAAGACAACTCTGGCCAGGTTTGATGACGTGAAACCAAACTGATTGATTGGATACTAAATAAAAGAAATATTTAGGACACTTTATTAAATTGTAAGAAACAAATCTGCATATTGTTGTCAAACTGATCTGAAGTCACGTACGTATTTAAACTGGTACTTAAAACAGGAAGTACCAATTCAGTGCGAGTCCAAGTGGAAATTTGTGCCAGGACATTATCCATGTGTTCGTCTCGGGGGCAGCAGCCTGATCAGGAAGGTCCAGACGTCTCTCTCCTCAGCCTCATCCTACGAGGACTCCAGTGTTCCCAGACCAGCTGAGAGACCGTCTCTCCAGTGCGTCCTGCGTCTTCCCCGAGGTCCTCCCAGTTGGACATGTCCAGAAGACGACCTTATGAAGGCGCCCAGGGTCCATCCTTAATAGATGTCTGAACCACCTCACCTGGCTCCTCTGGATGTGGAGGAGCAGCGGTTCTACTCCAAGTCTCTCCAGAAGAACTGAACTTCTCACCCGATCTTTGAGGGAGAGTCCAGCTGCCCTGCAATGAAAACTCATTTGGACCTCCTGAAGCTCGGATCTCGTTCTTTCAGTCACTACTCAGAGTTTGTGACCATAGGTGAGGGTGGGAACGTACACTGACTAGTAAACAGCTCCCTCTTCACCCCAATGGACCGGCACAGGTCCACAATAGTTGATTTATTAGTGTCTGAGTTTTGTTCCGTGAGATGCCAAAAGCCAGTGTCTTACTGGTGAACGTTCATCAGGAAGTCTCCTGAACATCTTGTGACTTTTGTGAGGTTCACAACTTCCTTCCGGCTGAGATGCTCAAATTTTGAATACGTTTCTAAAACGTCCAACAACTTTTCTCTTGAAATAGTCGGAGTCAGCAGGGCGTCTCCAACCAGTCTCACTATAACTGTGTTTGGATTCCTCCTCTGACAGAAATCACTGGAAACTGCCGTCCAGAACTAAAAACCACACAGACGATAAATAAATGTTAAAATATTTGGTTCAAATCTGCTCGTCAGGAATAGATTTTAAACGTCACTTGAAAATGAGCTGTTTTCTGCTCAGCAGATGTTTGTTGGTCACAAACGTCTCAGACTGCAGCTGAAAATGTGCTTTTTGTGGCAATTTTTGCATAAATGTGAGATATTTATCCACCAGCTCAGATTATTTCATGGTTCACCTCAGCCCACATCACACTTGCCTTGGTCTCTGCCCTACAGTCATGTACTGGAAGACTGGTTTGAAATGATCGACAGATTTCTTCCAGTTTTTTGATCACCTGTCGGAAGGCGTACGTATTCTGGTATAGTCTCCATCCGTCTGTAAACTTTTGTCCGGAGCAAAACTTCTGTTCCCCTTACCACAATTTAATGAAACTTGATACACATTTGCATCATCATTACACAAAATGTCCCATAATTTTTTCATAAACCAAGCTTCAATGTCAAGGTCATAAATCAAGGTCAAATTTGACAAGGGTCTTTCCTTGTCAGGGCCATTGCTTTGCTTTAAATTTGTCGTCGGCTGTTTGATGTGCGTTATGATGTACTCTTGTTAAGTACTTCACGCAGACTCTCCCACTCGTACATTTTCATCTTTAAATCACTTCTTGGTCTGCTGCCCTCATACGTCTCCTACATGTCTCTGTGTGAGTGCAGCTACAGCGTGCGCTCTCAGGACATTATTACCTGCAGTGTTCCCTCAGTGCAGACTGAATTAGGCAAAAGGGCCTTCTCCTACTCCGCTCCTGTTTCCTGGAATATCTTGTAAAAAGATCTGAAGCTCTCGACCTTGACCTCTCTAAGTGGCTTTGAGCATCTGTTGGACTCCTGACAGGGACCAATGCAGACATGTTCGTTTTTAGTTTTCTACATTCGCCTTATAATCAAGCGGTTTTGTTACTTTTTTGGCCATCTTATTTTAATATGTAAAAAATTTTTTTAAATCAGTACGCCTCTTTTATGATTGTCCATTGTTTTCATCGTTCTTTGTTGAAATCAGGTCCCTCTTGTAAATGAGTCCTCGAGGCTCAATGGGATTAACCTGTCTAAAGGTTGAATGAATGAAAATTTACCGTCTCCGTGGTTTTTAGATCTGGACATTCGGGGCTGTAGCCTCGAACGATTTCCATAGTTAAAAAAGTTTTGCCCAGGTATCAAAACTCAACCGTTGAGCTCTAGAACGACAGAAAGAGTTAGAAACATTCTTAACTTTTTGAGGGGAAATTTATGACGAATGTTTTGAACATTTTTAAAAGTCAAGGGACAAAACTGAGCTGCTTCAACTCATGCAAGGAAACTAAGAACACCCATAAACGTTTCGAGACCTTTCAGAGACGAACCAGTCTCCTACAGCAGGGGTTCTCAAACTTTTGGGGTTCAGGGACCCCCTCTTAACCTTCATGTTATTAAATATATATTTTTTAGTTTGGCTCTTTAATGCAATGGAAATATTTGTGTAGCAAAAATACTTGAGACCTGTTCTTTAATGGTGTTAATACAATTTTTATACTTTTAACATGGATTGTTTTTCATTCAAGACACAATTAGCAACATTTTTTATTTCAACTTCCAAAACTTAGTTTTGAGAAAATTAATATCAAAAATCACTTTAAAACTTTACCTATTTACATAATAAACATAAATGTGTTGTTACTTCAAATTATTACAGAAAACTCTACATAAAACTGAACAGTCATAAATAGCAGCAGTAGTAAAAAGTAACAGATCTTAATTTATATTTATAGGGGCCGAGATGGGGCAGGGGCAGGGCAGCCGACTCGGGCCCTGAAGGTCCTGGGCTCGACCCCCAGTCATTGCATATCTCGGGGTGTCTCTGAGCAGGACACCCAATCCCAAACTGCTCCCCGGGCACCTACATAGCTGCCCACTGCTCCACCTGGGTGCATCCCAGGTGCAATGGGTTAAATGCAGAGCCAATTTCGTCTTTGTATGGGAACATACAGTGACGACAACACATAGCACTTTATTTATATTTATTTTATTAATTTGTAAACCAATTTACAAATTAATACAAATAAAACATTTGCGGATTCCAGCGGTTCCAGGGACCCCAGTTTGAGAACCACTGTCCTACAGCCTGTTGAGGTGCTTCCTTTACAGGTGAAACGTTCTTTTGTTCTTCCACACCCGTCACTTTGTTCTCATGTGTTCTTGTCATCTTTTTTTTCCAGCCGCCTGGTGCAGCGTAAACCGAGACTGAGCATGAAGACTGTCAACTACACGCCAAGACTCCTGGACACTTTCCACTTCTTTAATCCCCCGTCTCCAATCAGTTTACTGCCCCCTTCCCTTTAACACCCCCCTCCCCCCAACCTCAGCTCCTTTTTGTAAGTACATGTTTACATGGTACAAATGAACGGCATCACCTGCGGCGACAGCTGAACAAAGTTTGCAGCTCTCCTCGGTTGTTTGCTGGTTCAGGATGAGTTCGTGTTGTAAGTAGCTTCGAGCCACGTTTAGGCAGAGTTCATCATGTAGCAGGGACCCTGGGGGGGGGGGGGGGGGGGGGGGGCTTCTTCCATGTAGCAGGTTTGAGGTTGTCCATCTGAAAAAGAAGCCTTTTTATTTTCATCAACTTGTTTCGTAGCGGACGGCGTTCCCCTCACATCAGCCATTCTGGGCAGCTTTTCCATCATGGAGGCAGGTTTTAAATCTCAAACCCAACCAGCCTGGTTGACTGGATTAGGATGAATCTTTGGATTAGGATGAATCTTTCGTGTAATCTTTCTTAAATCTCAACCCAAAGTGTTTGTTCCTGATAAACGATGGCTGCTGTGGGAGTAACGCCTGAAACGAGCTCCTCCTGGTGAGATAACCAGCTTAAAATCAGCATTTATTTATAACGAGAGAAAAAATAAGTATTTGCTCTTCATGCAGCTAAACTGGTTTAAGTTTTGTGTTTGAGTTTGCAATGAGTAATTATATTAGCTGTGTAAGTCCAGCAGTGTGTGTACATAAAACCGTTGTTCCAACATGAATATATTTATAATGACATTTCTTAGTGCTTCGGTGGTTTCTTTAATTTATTTTTTGTTTCCTGTGGAAGTGGCAGCTTTAGAGTCGCTGCGGTTTAGTTAGATCAGAAACATGAACGATGCTGAATTTAAAGCCTTAAATCATTCAAACAAAATGTTCAAAATGGTTTTTAAAGTTTGCAAAAAAAAATTGTCACGTTGAGGCATTTTAAACTCCAGCTGCAGCCGACACGACTCGACTTTGTACAATAAAGGACCTGGTTCTTGTAGAATAGACCGGCACCAGAACCGTCTCAGGTGTGATCCTGGACCGAGTCCATGTTTATCTGCACAAGAACCCAAACATCCGGGTGATTCTCGAGCCTCAGACCATCAATATAAAACTGATTCTAAGCTAAAATTCATTCCTTGCCTCTTTTAGGTAAATTAAAGACTTTACATGTTTTCAACAGGGTGTCAAACTCAAGGCCCGGGGGCCGTGTTCTGCTCGTGTTATAGGTTTATTCGGCCCATTAGATGTTTCTGTGCCAGTTTGTAACCAGTAGTTTCAATGTTTCTCATTTTGCTTCAAAACAAATCTGAGCTAACTTGATGCTTCAAGATAATTAAACAACTTTAAGCTGAGAAAATTAGGAATAAAATCGTCAGTAATTATTTGATTTGGTATAAGCAACAAAACAAGACAAATAAAACTCCCTGAAGTGCATCAGATCAACAATCTGCTTGCCTTTAGTTAAAACCAGATTTTTGTTCTTGGAGTAGAAAATTGGATTAAAAAATTATTTAACCGATTAATTTTGATCAGACTTATTGCTAAGAAATACATATTCCTTTAATCAGTAATCCATGTTTGTTCTAAATTATATTTAATATTAGGAAAATGTATTTATTTGATTTCTTATCTGAACACAAAGATAAATGTGTCCAAGAAAAACCCGCAAAGGTCACAGAAATATCTTGATACTGAGAAATATTTAAAGAAAACTGAAACTGGCCTTAACAAAAAGATGGTCTCCTTATAAAAAGGACTAAAACTAATCTGTCCACAGGGACATGTTAGACACAGGTGTGTCCTGTAATCAGCATCTCGGGTTTCTTCAGTCTAATCAATCTGCCTGGTTAAAGGGTGACATGTAGTCACAGGGCTGTTTGGTATCATGGTGTGTAACACACTGAGCATGGACCGACATGTTGAAGGTAAAGACTATCAGACCATCTCCAAGCAGCTCGATGTTCCTCTGACTTCAGCTGCTCACATTATTCAGATGATTAAAATCCACAGGAGTGGAGACAAACTCCCTGGACATGTCCACAAGAGGACAATTGATGACCAACTGAAAGGATGGATAATATGAACAGTAACCAAAGAGTCCAGAACAACTTCCAAATAGATTAGTGTCAGATCACACAATCAGCACCATCAGATCTATCGAGGCATTCTGGGGTGAAATGTGCTGCTCATTGTCAGATCACGGCTCCTCCAACAGGATACTGACCCAAAACACAGCTAAAAACACCAAAGAGCGGATCAGAACCAAACAAGGGTCCGTTCTGAAGTGTCCTTCTGAGCCCTGATCTAAATCCTGCTGAACATCTGTGGAAGGAGCTGAAACATCTGGAGGAAGAACCCTTCAAACCGGAGACAGCTGGAGCGGTTTGATCATGAGTGGACCGGAACACCTGTGGACAGGTGGACCGGAACACCTGTGGACAGGTGGACCGGAACACCTGCGGACAGGTGGACCGGAACACCTGCGGACAGATGGACCGGAACACCTGTGGACAGATGGACCGGAACACCTGTGGACAGGTGGACCGGAACACCTGTGGACAGGTGGACCGGAACACCTACGGACAGGTGGACCAGAACACCTGTGGACAGGTGCAGAAGTCATAGAGTTACAGAAATCACTTGGTTTCCTCAAACGTTGGGTCAACTAAATATTAGTCATGTCAAATTTATTTATAAAGCACATTTAAAACAGCAACTGTTATTAAAGTGCTTATATTCAGTTAAGGTACCATCTTTTTTGTCAAGACCAGTTTCATTAGTTTCAAAGTATTTCTCAGTATTTTCAGGACCACTGAGTTATTTCTTTAACAAAAAGGCACAAACATCTGTTAAATAAATATTGACTAAGACTGGCCCTCAGTCACCGAGTCTGACGACTGAAAATTATAAATAATGGACTGATGGTCTGAAGCGGCTGAGCAGCTGCTGGAGTTTACAAAGACTTCAACTCTGAACCAGTGTTTGTTGGATCTTGGTTTTAGGTCAATGGTCTCACCTTCTGCTCACCACGAAACCAATCGGACTCTGAAAGCACAATGTAAAAAAATAAACGTGAATATTGTGACTTCAAGATGAAATTATTTAGATCTGTAGAATTTATCGGATTAATTTATTACGAGTCAGCCCCTCTTGATGGCGATATTGTTTCCATCCACCTCTCTGCTGGGTTTCATGTTTGGACCATGACGGGACAAAGTGTGGTGGGGTGGGTCCATCTACATCAGAACTGAGCTGGACGCCTTCTTTTAGAGCGCTGGGCTGCCCTGAACAGAGCCAGGACTGTTTGACAACGCAGTGAATCGTCTGATCTTAAAGGGACCCTGTGGAGGTTTGGACCTCTAAAGTTCTGCAGCAGTTTGCTGGTTAACTTCAGGTTCATAGTTTAGGAGCCAATGAGGAGCGGGAATGTTTAGGAATGATCCAGATGGGAGTCGAACATCTGTAATCGCGTCACATTGAAGTGACTACCCCGATCCTCAGATCTAAAACTTCCGAGGGTTAACTTTATAGAAGGCAAAGTTTTTCAAAATATAGTTTTCAATGCAGAAAGAGCCGTTTCGCGTCTCGTTCTCCTCAGAGTCCAGCTGTTTATTTGTTCTTCAACAGGACGTTATTACAAGCGATTACGTTCTGACCTTTAAAGCCGACCCAGAACGGTTCAGGTCAGATTCTCACCTCAAACACAGAACGAACGTTACTTCTTTTAATTTTAAAATCATCACTTTCTACAATCTACAAGACCTGAAGGGACTCTGAGTTTTAGACGGATTGAAAAGGCCGAAGCGTAGAGTTGCAGAACTCGTCATTTTGATTTTTATTTGCAAGCAGCGCGCTGAACGATCAAATCTGTCTTTGAAGCGCGGACTGTAAACATTTTGTTTGCGAAGTCTCCACAGGGACAACTTTAACCGCTCGTTACTAATTCAGACCGAGGTGCTGTCCTCTCAGTGAAAACTAAGCCATACGGCGTGGACGGGCGCTGACAGCCATAGCGTCACGGCGTTCGGTGCAGCCCACACGCTTTAACCGAGGCTTCGTCTTTCAGGTTGACGGTGACCGAACAGTCAAAAAAAAAAAAAAAAAAAAAGCCAATACTATTTCCTGTTGATACATTCCTGAACGTCCCTCAGACTGTGTTCTTTATCTACCCTCCTCCTCTTCCTCAGTGCAACCTGTGCTTTGTCATACAAGGAAAGAGTTGTGGCGTTGAAGCTTTCCTGCAGCAGCAGCAGAACGTCTCAGATCAGACCTCCTGCTGGGAAGCTCGGAACCAAGCGACACAAAAAGCCCGTCAGGGATTTGCCAAATCAAGGCCACAACTCTTCCTTTCTATGAACGGTTCTTTTCTCTCCCGAGTGCATGTCACCTGAATGTCCAGTGATGTAGTTTTAGGCCACGCTACTCTTCAGTAGACTTTGTGCTTTTCTTATCTTTCTTTTCTAGTATTCCTATGAAGGAGAAAACAAAAAAATCTATAAGATATATATATATATATATATAAATAAATTATATGATGGGAGAACAAACGGCATATGAGAATGAACTTTTATGGCAATGTTTGAAATATTAATTCTTAATGTATGTTCCAGTAAAACTGCTTTCTCTTCGAGTGTAGAGACGTTCTGCAGGGATGCAAGTCTGTTGAAAATCTAGGTGATGTAATTCAATAAAACTATAAAGTTCAAAACTGTTGTTGGTTTTTTCTTTTACGTTTCCGTCAAACTGGTTCCAACGCCTGACTTCAACACAGACTAACTTTACACGAAAAATAAAAAATATTTCTCCAGACATTAACATGAAAATAAGTTAACACTGATGTGCTCAAACATGTTTAATTCATGAAAAAAAGATTCTGTTAAAGCAGAGGTGTCCAGTGTGGCCCAAGGGCCATTTTTGGCCCCGAGTGATTGTGTGGGTCCCTTGGCTGCATTTTAGAAATTATACAATTTTTAAATTAAAGTAAACTTTGTCAGTGTTCAGCATTGCCAGGACTGCAAAGCAGTCCACATGCGCCCTCTGCTGGATACATTGTACAATTATGCCATTTGCAAGTAAGGTCACAGCTGGTTCAAGCATTTTAAGGGTGAAAATTAGAAGCGTGTATAGCCGCACATAATAGTACAATTATCACTGATACGATGTGTCCCCAAATGCTAATATCGGCTCCTACAGATGTCAGTTGGGCTCTAATTATAAGCAATATAATAACTAGAAAGTATAGTTTCCTCAAAGATCTGAGTGGTTGGTTTATGTATAGATATGGTGGTAGCCACCTTGGATGGCAACTCAATTTTGGATAGTGACCTTTCTTAGACCTAGATGCAACCACACACCAAAATGAAAGTCGGTACAAGTTATCCAGTTCATAAGACTGACGGATGGAGGGTACTTCCAAGCCCCCTCTCCACTTTGCAACAGGGAACAAAGTCAGGTTAGTGAGTTTAAGATGATGTTTTGAAGGAAAAATGGAGATAAATCATGTAGTCTGTGAGTAAACAGTCTCCCAGTCCTGTTCTATAGAAACTAAAGACACATGAAGGAATCTTAAATAAATATTGGATGTGATGCAAAAACTGACATCAAATTGGCTGCTTTAGGTTTTTTTCTCTTAACCAGATAAATGGTTCTCTGAAATCAAAGGAAATGCAAATTAAAGAACAATTTTCAGTTTTATATCTGAACCTGAATGAGTTCATCCAGTTCTCCAATAATGAACTTGTGCTAAAACGTCATCTTCCGTTCAAACAGAGGCAAGTTTAACGAAAACTTCTTTAAAAAGGTTTTATTTGGTCTTTAAGACAACTTTGGTTTTCTTTTCCTGGGTGTTAAACAAACACGTTTCTTTAAAATCACTAATATTTCCCTCCCCTTCCCTCGAGCCAGTTAATACTTTTATAACTTTAAAAATAAAAAGAACAGTCCAGGAATCTTTGAGGCAACATAGAGACATGAAAAATAAAGACTGCATGAAAATATTCTGAATAAATGTGGTGAAAGCGTAAAGAGCAAAGACAGTCGTCACAATGCAGCTACAACCAGTAAACTCAAACACCTCAAAGTCTTACTGTTTTCACTCAAGTTGAAAGTTCTGAAGCCTCTTCATCGTTTAAGAGTCATGAAGAAGAGGAGAAAGGAGGAATGCGAGTTCACGACATAAACGTGACAGAGGGGCGTCAGATGTGTCCAAGGAGCTGCATGATGGCGACGGTGGTGCTCTGACCAAAGATGAAGGCTCCACAGATCAGAGTCACCATGCCCCAAACTGTGAGGAAGACTCTGGAGAGAAGAAGATATGAAACATAGATATCTTCCTGATCACATTTAAACAACAAGAACAAAAAAACAAAAGATACAGAAGTCCCTCGACACTTTGCGATTCGACTTTTGCAGCCACTCGCTCAGGTTTTCAATGTAAGATTGTAAACATTGTTTCCCGGTGGCCTGGCCGCTCGGTGATCACTGAGGGATGAACACCCTCCTTTCTCTTTCTGAGGCTATAGGCCTCAGAAAGAGAAAGGAGGGGATGGGGGTGAGGTCCGTCTTTCCCCATCGCTACTGTGGGAGATTCAGTGAGGTGGACACCAGAGTGAGTGGCATGGATCGTTTATTTAAAATAATCAAGCGTGACCCGAACTGAGCCTTAATCCGAACCAGGACATTTTCCGAACCTGGAAATGTCCCGGTGTTCCCGATGGCCAGTCCACCCAAAGTGCTGATTAGCTCAGTAACCGCAGAATCAGTCTGTCTACTCTCCTTCGCTGTGCTCTTTTAGAGCATTTAGAGAGTTAAGAGCATTACAAGAATATGGGAAGGGTTTATAAAGCCACATATATATATATATATATATATATATATATATATATATTTATATTAATATGCTAAAATAAATATAACATCCCTACTTTGCAGATTTTCACCTATCGCGGGGGTGTCTGGAACGTAATCCCAGTGATCAGTGAGGGATACTGTATTTCAATTAGCTGTGTGGCTTGTTTCTCTCCTGACCAGAAGCTTTTCTGAATTAAGAGATTAGATTTTATTTAGTTCAGTTCATTATTTAAATGAAGTTTCGCCTCACCTGGTTTTGCAGGACACCGGTTCGGACCGCATGGCGAACACCAGACAGAGTCCAGGGAAGATGAAGATGAAAAAGGCGCTGATCCCTCCAATAACGCCGATGACCTTACTGATGTCCGGAATGAAGACGGCGATGAGCAGCGTCACCGTGATCCACGCTGCTGTCAGCGTGAAGCGGCTGCGGCTTTCCAACCGCGCCTTTGCCGCCCTGCTGCGTTTCTGCCACCGGCTCAGCAGAGGGTCCTGGATCACAGACCTGATGAAGCCAAAATAATTCACAACAAACCAGAAAGAGAATTTACTGGAAGTGAGGTTACCGCAGAGAAGATGCATGTAGCATGAAGATCCAGGTCCAATGTCAAAATTGTTTCAATTTTCAGTGGCTGCTCTGAAACTGTGGAGCACTTTACCTGATCACTAAAGACCGCTGAGACTTGAGACCTTTGCTTAAGACCCATCTTTTTTCTCTGGCGTTTGATCCAGGCAGAGATTGAGAACCAATTAGAGCTGATGGATTATTTTTAACCACCTTGTGTTTCCTTGATGGCACATGATCTCTCGTATTTTCTTTTACTTGTTGTAATTTTACATTTTAATTTGACTACACTGTAAAGCACTTTGGTCAATGTTTGTTGTTTTCATGTGCTACATAAATAAATTGATATTGACTTGGAAATGGCAGCCGACCATGTTCCTTGAGGTACACTGTGGGGGGCACTCTGGATATAGGATTGGGGGTCAGTTGCTACAATCCATATACAATTGGTGCGAGAGGTTGGTTCCCGTGGCCGGCTGTAAGTCGGACCTCTTCGGGGTGGAAGTCGGACTCTGCCAAGGCTGAACGTTGCCATTGATTTTCTTCATAACTTCTGGACAGAATATTCTGATGCAGCCAGGAGGTGAAGGGAGTCTGGTTTAGAAGCCTCAGGATTCCATCTGATATTTGCAGCTGATGCAGTTCACAGCCGAGTGTGAAGCGGCAGAATGAGGATCAGAACCCGAGGCCACCGTCTTCAATTGGAAAAGGGTGCACTGCCCCCTCGAAGTTGGGGGTGAGATTCTGTCTCAAGTGGAAGAGTTCAAGCATCTCAGGGTTTTGTTCACGAGCGAGGGAAGAACGGAGCGGGAGATCTACAGATGGATCGGTGCTGCTTCCACAGTAGGGGTGTAAATCACCAGCTTTACCACGATACGAGATTATATTGATTTGTTTGTATGACAATACAATTTTTCTCGATATCACAAAGTCTGTCACGATACGATTTTGATTCCATTCGATTCACAAGTCTGCAATCGATATATTGTGATATTGAATGCCCATCTCATTTACATATAAATTTACAAAAACAATTCAAATATGATTTAACCATTTTATTTCTGTTATTACAGGCACCAGGCATTTAAATAAAAAAAATAAAAAAAATGTTTTTTCTTAATTATGAAAAAATAAAAAAATTAATGACCTGTTCAGCATAGTCTTACATTTCTCAGAAACAAAAATAGATATTGAGCTTACATAACAATTCTATCAATGCTCTGTTTCTTCTTTAGGTCAACGGTCAAATTTGTTGTTTCCCTAGTATTTGAACTCACACTGGCACCTGTGGCATACGACATGAGTTTTGTCTGTCGAGCCGTCCTGTCGGAATCAAAAATATTTCCAGTGTTGATTTAAATCCAGCAGGAGAGTGAATTTCATTATCTGTTTTTCTGCCTCGTCTGCCATGTTGCTGAGGCGGCTGCAGAGCGCAGCCGCGCACGGAAATGGTGACACAGACGTGCCTTGGGAATTTCAAAATAAAAGCGTATTTTTAAGATGACGAATAAATCGATATTTTAGTTTTGCCAAGATTGAATCAAATCATTTAATCAATATCGATTTAAAGCGATGTAATGTTACACCACTATTCCACAATATTGCGTACTCTGTACCGGTCTGCTGTGGTGAAGAGGAAGCTGAGCTGAAAGGAGAAGCTCTCCGTTTACCAATCGATCTACGTTCCTAACCCTTACCTATGGCCACAAATTCTGGATAAAAAAACCAAAGAGCGATATCGTAGATCCAGGAGGTCTAAATGAGTTTTCTCTGCAGGGTAGCTGGACTCTTCCTCAGAGATCGGGTGAGAAGTTCAGTTCTCCAGGAGAAACTCTGAACTTCTATGGTGTTTTCAGTGTTAAGGTAGCATCTATGCTAACTGTTGTGGTTCTCTTTATTATAAAAGAAAATGTATAAATCAATGCTTATTCATGTAAAACAGACTGCACTTGTTAAAGTAGTACATTTAGACTCCTATCGTCTACAAAGAGCATAATTAAAGATCATCAAGTGTTCCTAAAGGACCAGTATCCAACACTGCCTGTAGCAGACAAAAACATTTATGGAAGAAGCTTCTCATCAAACAACATGGCTGACCTGCCCAGCAGCACGATGATGGGATAGATGGTGATAATAGAGACCCCAAACAGCAGCCTGGCCACGAGCATCAGGACGTCATGGCTGGCGTAGGACATTAAAATATCGGCTTCCACCTGCCTCCCAAACGTCAGGTACCCGTAAACTCCTGCAACCAACGGAGGAGCCACGTTTCCTCATCTTCATCACTTCAGTTCACTTCAGAAAGTGTTCATTTGTAAAAAATTAAATGTTAGAAAGATGAGACTAAAGCAGGAGGAGGTCTGACCTGTGAGGGAGTAAATGATGAGGCAGATGATCATGGCCACCACGGAGACGAAGACCCAGTGAGAGAGGCGCTGGTTCTCCATGCTGCTGTAGATGGCGACGGACGCCTCGTGGCACTGAGACACAACGTGCGATGTTTATGATCAAACTGGATGGACTGCTGCCGTTAAGGATCAGAACCAAATTGAACAATCCTGCTGAAGCATGAACTCCATCCCTCCTGTCTGCAGACACACGTTCACCCCAGGCTCTGGTGGTTTTTACGTGAAGACATCTTACACTCACCTGGAACCCAAAGCAGATGGTCGGGATGACGCTGAACATCGAGGCCCAGGAGCTGAACCTGCACACACGAAAATAAGAGTTCTCATCTGGTCCTTTTAGTCCAGATCTGCTTTCAGGCAACAAATATCAAGGTTCAAGTTTCTTTATTATCATTAGCATCACATGTGGTACATGAGGTGGAACAAAATTATGTACTCAAGGTTCCAGTTACACCCCAAAATTGCAAAAATATAAAGTATAAAAAAGAAACTGCATAAGGATCCAAGATATATGATAAACAATAATAATGTAATATCATATGGTGTATTAAACAGCAGCCTGAACATGAGTCTGTTGTGAGCAGATGGGTATGAATACAGCAGCTTATGGGTAAGAAATCAGCAGCATGGATAAAGTGTCAAATCTTCAATTAAAGTGTAGTTACAGTAATTTTCCTGGTTAGGGATTTAAGAGTCTAACAGCTTCAGGGTAGAAGCTGTTCCTCAGTCTCGTGGTTCTGCACTTAATGCTCCACAACCTGCTGCCTGAGGGGAGCGGGGCAAAATGTCACTTTACAATACGACAGCCTGGATGGGTAGGTGCACAGTCATATGTAAACAGAGTGAACAGGAGGGGGCTCAACACACAGCCCTGAGGGGAGCCAGTGCTGACGGTTATGGTGGATGGTGCATATGATAGTATATGTATATGATGTAAAGGATAGTGATGATTTATGAAGTTTTGTTAAATTATCCTGAGCGAATCAGAAGTTATGGGCGGGACGAGAAAGTTTGCGGACTGAGACTGTACCATAACACATATACAAAGTGCACATTTGTTTTAATTAATTTACAGAAGGCACCTTTTCATGTCATTTTATCTACAATATCTGTTCCGTCACGTTGACCGTTTCCATGATTTAAAATCCTATTTTCTATTTTTCTCAAAAACTGGTTCTTTTTGTGAGCAGCTTAATTTGTTTCAGTAAATCATTGACTTTTATAAAGTTTCTTTTTCAACAAAGCATCACGTCGTCATGAAATATTGCCATAAAGAAGAGGAGAGGCAGCTCCATTCAGCTGAAACTAAACGGTGGCCTGTGCAAAAATCCTGAGCCGTCAATCATTTTGTAGCTTCAGATGAGTTAAACTTTCCTGAAATGTTTTAAAATGGTCTGGATCAGTTGTGTGACCAGATGTATTAACTTATTTATTAACTAATTTAAAAGGAAAGTTCAACACCAGTGAGGAAAGATGCCGTGCTAAATACTTGGGCAGATCCACCGTGCACAGGAGCTGGAAAGATCAGACACCGACAGACCTCTGAGAAGTTGTGTGCGCACGTCGACAGGCGTCCATCTCATTACTCGCTCCTGCTGCGTTTCCGCCGAACGCCCTTCAACTTCCGCGTCTTCTTCCTGAAGATGTTTGACAAATACCTTTGGGCCTCAGTCAGAAAGGAGGTGCTGTTTGTTAGTTCGGTGGGGGGGGGGGGGGGGGTGTCAGCTGAAGGGGTATGGGGGGGTTTCTTTTGCTGCTGCCTCCCGCTCCAATGTACATCAAATATGGTGATTTTCCAACAAAGAACACGTGGTTTTACTTGACCTATGAGCACAATTTAAAACCTGTTTAATAGTTTAAAGTCTTTTCTTCTGACACAAAGTAAAATGAGTCTCAGAGCGGCCGTGTCTTCACTGCTACAGCGACTGAAGGTGCTCATGTGATATGAAAGGAGTCGGTGCCTCCATAGACTCCAGAGGGTTTAAAAGAAAAATGGTCCTTACAATCAATTATTTTAAACAAAATGTTTATTTCATTGTGAAGACTAGCACATGCCAGAAGATGTGGTCAAGCCGGGAAGGTCCTTCCTGCAGTGTTGAGTCCTCTCGTGGAGCTGCCTCTTCTTGCCTTCGTGGTGGCTCTGCATGTACGGAGCAGGCCCTCCTTGTTGAGCAACGATTTCACATCAAAGAGTTCTTTCTCCTTCATGGCTTTCTGATAAGTCACCATAGATGTCTTCTAGATCACTTGATCTTTCTCCACTGAAATTGTCCTCACTAGCGTACGCCTCCAACAGGAAGTCGCTCCTGCCCGTGCTTCGTTCTGTTCTTGATGTCGTCAGCCTTCGGCAATCATCGGCCGTGTTCTCGGGTGTTTCTGTAACTGTTTTTTTTTAATGGCCCGAATGCAAAAACATACAACCATCATATTCAGTGATTACCAGTACCTGCTGAGAGCAGACGGGCCTTTAACGGTGGGTGTTGGACTTTAACGTGGGGCTCAAACATTAAACATGACCGTCAGGTTTCAGCTCAATGTGTGTAAACACAGACCGTTACTCACCCACTGGGGAGGAGGGGGGGCGTGCTGTGAACCGGAACAGCAGGTCTAGTGTAGTACTTTATGATGATGCCGACGGTCAGGTAGGTAGCAGCCAGAGTACCCAGAACACTGCGAGGACGAAGACAGACGAGTCAAGATGACCGGGGGTCGAGTCAGCAGGTCATTCATCAACATGAAGACGCGTCTGACTAAACATGCGGAATAATAACAAGACAGCGAAAAGTCCCATTTGTACAAGTCTCAGCAACCCTAAATCTGCACCGATGACACCGGAATGTTTCAACATTTATGTGTTTAAAGGTAACCTTGCTGCTATAATGTTAATTTCACTTGCGCCGTCTTATCTTACAACCGGTAAGATACTTTACTTATAATCTTTCCTCAGAACCCACATGAGAAAAATCAGATTTATCCTGAGAAGAGGAAGTTCTGCAGACTGGCTCAGGTTTTCATGCAGCCCAGTTTGATCTGTGCTATATAGTACCAAACTAAAGTGCTGAACTAAAATATCATTTGAGTTTAAAAACAATGTCTAAGTGATAAAAGTGGAATAAATATGAAAGATAAAAAACTCTTGTCATTTAGAAATGTATCATTTTAAAAACAGTTCCTATTTGGTCAAGAAAATCTAGTTCAAGCAGACTGAAACAGGCAGTTGTCCATTTTACTATGTTCCTTGAAAGTCACATAAAAGTTTGAGGAGTGATGCACATGTGCCATGTGGCAGGTTACAACCTCCTCTTTGAGTTGTACTAAGTGTCAGTGTAGTTCAGTTTTGTTTTGTATTGGATTGAGCATTTTATTTTGCCTAATCAGATGGGAGTGGGCGGGATTAATGGTACGCTGCATGAAACGTGAGTCTGTGTGAAAACCAGACAAGGCAGAGCGCACAGCGACGCAGTCGTGGGACAGTAGAGTAAAGCTGTCCATTACAATAGTTAATGTAGAGTTGCTGACTGTACCGGACTTTAAGAAGCATATGAAAGTGGACCAGGAGTTGATCTTTGGACCTGCTGGACGAGTTAGAAGTTCCCCATTCAGCTGTTGGATTCACGTGAGGTTGCTGCAAGGAAGGATCTCGGTATTCGTGTGACATCACCTGCCTACTTACTTTACTCAGCGCCATATTAAAAGGGATCTCCACATCTACCTTTTCCCGATCCAATCTCAAACATTGAAGGATTTGAGTACAAATCTAAACCAATGCACGTGCATTTTATTGTATTTGCTCAGTGAGCGAATGAGCCGTTTGTTTTTAGCTCCCACGCACCCAAGCATCGATTCAGGCCTGCAACAGGTTATTTTGGGGTTGAATTTTATGTTTGAAAAGCCTTATATTTTGTTTAGTTATTTAAAAAACACTGTTCTGGTTCATTTTATTTGTGAAGCAAATTACATTCTTAGTGGGTTAAACAAAGTGTAGTCATAATTTCCTGCTAAGTGGAGGCACCATCATTAAATTAAAGTTGTATCTGCTGTAAACTGTTACAGCTATGTTTAAAATATTGTTCCCAGGGCCCCGACCAATGTACTACATTTCAATCTAACCTATTGGTTAACTTTAGCTACGTGGTACGGGCGCTACATTTATAAAACATCTGATCCAACAGGACCAGAAGGAGCCTCTGGACCAGGGGTGTCCAAAGAGTGGCCCACAGACCATTTGCAGCCTCGAAGGGATTTTGTGCGGCCCTCAACTGCAATTTAAGAATGGAAAAATTCTGACCTGCAGACATAAGAAGTTGATGCAGATGTAGACCTTCTGTAAATTTGATGGGTGATCTTTTTTTTTTTGTTTTGTTAACAGAAAAACAAATGAAACTAGAGAAATAGTTTGTTTTTTGCACAAAACAAACATCAAGTGTGCACTGCAATGCATGATGCTGCTTATGGGCATGCCTCAGCAGAAGTCTTCAAACAGCTGAAATTTAGGCCTAAAAGCATTTCAGGAGTCAAACAGGAGTCATAACATCTTCTGACGGTGTTGACTATGCTTAAGCAGAGGTATCTGAACAGCTGAAATGCATGTCTGTAGGCAGAGTAAATACTATGGATATTAGTAATATTGGTGATACTGATGGTAGAAAATCTAGTAATAGAACAACATTATGCAAAATTGTCATGTAATAAAAGAAACTGAGTACAGATGTAATTTAAGATAAGACCTTAAAACAGCAATAGCTAAAGCTTATTTAGAAGGAGCAGCAGAAAAGCTTAACATTAAAAATACAAGCATTTAATTAATACTTGAAATGTTATTGTACTAAAAGAAGAACTACTAGCAGAAGTACCGTACTTCGTCCAGTTTGAGTTATACATCTGTTCCATAATGTTAAACTCTTAGGCTGTAAGCTGTGTCTGCACGGGCGGAGCCTCATTTGCATAAAAAAAGATTTCTATAACTCATAATGCTGAAAATAAAGTTCTGTGATCACTGGACCTTTGTAGGCTGCTTAATGTAAACAGAGCTTCTATTAAAAGGTTGTCAGAAGGGAGAAGAGTTGGACCAAATCCTGAACCCAAGCTGGTGGTTTGGACCAAAGCTGCTGAAATTTCCCCAATGAATGGAGCTTAAATAAAGCTTAATATTTCAAAAAACAAACGGCACAAAGCCCAAAAGTCACAGCAAGCATCTTCTGAAAGCTTTCAGTAATTACAAGTTTGAACGACTGCAATCAGACCAAGTCAACAAAAGTAGTTTGGTAGCAAAAAAACAGCACAGGACGACATTTGGAATGAGCACAACGTCCTAAAATGTGACATTAAAACTAAGGTTCAGCTTTAATGAACCACTTTTATTTTTATTCCATTTTTATGGTACAAAGCACCACCAACCTTTACTGACTATTAAAAAGTACTTTTGGGAAATCTAGTTTTCAAAGAAAAAATGTTGATTTAACCATTGATGGAGGGACATTAGACATTGGGAATAATTTACAAACTATAGTCTCCTTGTTCGTGTCCCTTCAAACTTCTCATGAATTGGTTTTAGCGACAGACAGATGTACGCATCTTCAGGGCTCTGACCACCCATTTGGGCAATCCGTGGTCGTGTTTCTGGAAGATTTTAAAGAAAAAAGAAAAATAAACTCTGGTAAGGTTCCAACTACAACCAGTGAAATTAATTTCAATGTCCACCCCGAGATTTTATATATATATACATATATATATATATATATATATATATATATATATATATAAAATATTAGGGCTGGGCCATATATCGTTCACAATACCGATAAAAAAAGCTTGCCCGGGCAAAACAATAATATGCCACATATATGCTAATTTCATGACGTAATACGTCAGGACGCCCCGCCCCTTTAACAGAACCGAGCACACCGAACGTCCACACCGAATTGCAGACCCCCCCGCTCTAAACTGCTGGTACAAACACGTGCAGCTCAACTGTCTCTTGAGTTCCACAGTCCATGGACCAAGAACAGAGTCAGGTGATCAAAGACAGAGCGTCTGAGAAACGAATCATTCCTGCAGGAACAGAAGAAGCTGAAACACCACAAGCTTCAGGGTCAGCTGAAGACACCTTGTTAAAAGTTCTGGAAGTTATAGCTCATTTAAAGGAAACATATATTTTGTTACATTTATGCTCAACAGATCTTAAACTTCATTTTATTTGGTTATTTTGGAAAACTTCACCTGCACTTTAGTTTTTGTGGTGGATTTATTGATCTATTTGTGCAGACTTCTTCAATCTAAATAATAGAAGGAACTTTTTTATTTTAATACTTGGAGACTGAATACTTTACTAAATAAAGTAATTTCGGTAAAATTACACCTTGTTTTTTTTATTTTATTTAATACTGCAAAACAACATGTTAAGTTAATTTTGTCAAATAACTATGATTTCTGTTTTGTTTTTTTATATCGCAAAATTCATCGTTATCGTCAGAATGCTCTGAAATATCACAATATTATATTTGAGCCATAACGCCCAATATTATATATATATATATATACATACATATATATATATATATATATATACATACATATACATATATATGTATATGTATATATATACATATATATACATATATATATACATATATACATATACATATGTATGTATATGTATATATA